GCTAAACCGATGTCGTTTGGTGATTTTGGGGCGTCAACACCTCGAATTCAAGTTTCTTAAGTAAGTAGTTTGCTTAGAGTGAAATCCGGCTCTAACTCCCAAACCGGGAACCCAATTCGAGCCCCGCCTTCTCCCATAAGTCTCTCGTGCCTAGGCGATCGTGTGTGCCATGTTTCGTACTAAACCAAAGCGGTTTGGTGATTTTTGGGCGTCACCTCGAATTCAAGTTTCTTAAGGAACTAGTTTGCCTAGAGTGAAATCCGACTCTAACTTCCAAACTGGGAACCCGATTAGAGTCCCGTCTTCGGCCACAAGTCTCTCGTGCCTAGGCGGTCGTGTGTGCGAAATTTCATGCTAATCCGACACCGTTTGGTGATTTTGAGGGGTCAACACCTCGAATTCAAGTTTCTTAAGGAACTAGTTTGCCTAGAGTGAAACCCGGCTCTAACTCCCAAATTGGAAACCCGATTGAGGTGCCATTTTCTCCCACAAGTCTCTCGTGTGTAGGCGGTCATGTGTGCCAAGTTTCGTGCTAATCCGACCCTATTTGGTGATTTTGGGGCTTCAACACTTCAAATTTAAGTTTCTTAAGGAACTAGTTTGCCTAGAGTGAAATCCGGCTCTAACTCCGAAATCGGGAACCCGATTGGAGTCCCGTCTTCTCCCACAAGTCTCTCGTGCCTAGGTGGTCGTGTGTGCCAAGTTTTGTGCTAAACCGACGTCGTTTGGTGATTTTGGGGCATCAACACCTCGAATTCAAGTTTCTTAAGAAACTAGTTTGCCTAGAGTGAAATCCAGCTCTAACTCCCAAGCCGGGAACCTGATTGGAGTCCCTTCTTCTCCGACAAATCTCTCGTGCCTAGGCGGTCGTGTGTGCTAAGCTTCGTGCTAAACCAACACCATTTGGTGATTTTAGGGCATCAACACCTCAAATTCAAGTTTCTTAAGAAACTAGTTTGCCTAGAGTGAAATTCGGCTCTAACTCCCAAGCCAAGAACCCGATTGGAGTCGCTTCTTCTCCCACACGTGTCTCGTGCCTAGGCGGTCGTGTGTGCCAAGTTTCGTGCTAAACCGACGCCGTTTGGTATTTTGGGGCGTCAACACCTTGAATTCAAGTTTCTCGTATCTAGCCTCTATCCTTTTGGGCTGTGTACAGTTAATTTATGGTTATTCTTAGCTTAGAATACAAAGATACATTTTATACCTGATCTTCTAGTGGTGGTGTATATGGATTCTCATCTCCTGTAGATTCCCTAAATGCTCGGTGGCCCCTCGATGCATCAAGAACCTATGATAGTCAATATATAATGTGTTAATCATATTCGAATTTTATTATATATGTGTACATATATGTTGTGTGAAAATTTAACTATCAAACAATTTAATTTATGTTGAACCTGTCTGTTGGGATCCACACTCGCCTCTTGTGACACAAAGGCCATCATCTCAGCTCTCATCTGCTGTAAATGTGTAGAGAACTCTGCTCGCATCTCCTCCCTTAGCTCTTCCCTCAACTCATCCCTTAGCTCCGCACGAACCTGCTGGGTGATCTGAACAATAGTCAATGGCTGGGGTGTTGACTGTGATGGCCTAGCACCATCTTTATACACCGCTCTCTGAGGCACAGTTCTCACGTATGTGCGACAATATCCATGTCTGTCATGACCTATCAACTCATGGAAAATGGCATTTCTAGCCTCCAAAGTCTAACAATCCTCAAGTAGCAGTGAGAGTTGATGATTAAACTCATCATGTATTGAATAAGACATACAAGCATATGTGAAATTAAGATGGTTGACACACAAAAAAATAAAAAATAAACTTTAAATAGAACCATTTGAACCACCATCACCATTTGATTTCCATCTAGAATTGTTGTATATGACACATTTATCAAGATTGGTGTCCTCGTTTCGAAACAACATGTAACTGTTGGGACATGCATCCCACGTCTCATACGTAAAGCCCAAATCTGTTGTGACCTTTTGAGCTTTACAATATGAGTCCGGGAGTTTCACGCCTACCGGGAACGCCTCATTCAATAACTCAAGCAACATGTTAACAGACTAGTCTGTCGATTGATTAAGTACCTTCAGATGTAGAAGTCGAACAATGAATGACAAAGATGTGAACTTCTGACAATTCGGATACAGTTCACTTTGTGCATCTTCAAGAAGTTGGAAATACTTTGTAGTCTCCACATTTGGACCGAGCTAGGGTTCAGATGCAAGGGGATCAGGCGTCTGTGGTTCATTACCCTCAACACTTGTATCGGCATGTGGATTTCCTATAGCCCCTTGTATCATTCCAACCATATCATCCCCAATGTCTAAATTAGCCAATGTTTCATTCTCTCGATTACCGTGCAGAGATACGTAAGATTCCCTATGATTAATCCAATGTTTTTACTTTTTAAAAAAATCATTCAAAATCAGATGCTCCCGCACACCCCCTCGTACAAGATAATATTGATTCTCACATTTCCTACACGGACAATTAATCATCGAACCTTCAGTCTTATTGGTGTAGGAAAACACGAGGAATTGATCAATCCCATTAATGTATTCCCTCGACATCCTATTTGGCAAGTCAACCCAACTCTTATCCATCCTCTGTTCTCCCTTAAATATCTCTTCTGCACACATCCACAAAAATTAAACATCAAATAACTATAAAACATGATTAATTTGAAAAAAAAAACAAACAAATAAACAAACAAATTGTCTTAAAACATTAGTCTCGAATCGGGTTCACAGTTTGAGAGTTAGAGCCGGATTTCACTCTAGATAAACTAGTTTCTTAAGAAATTTAGAATTCGAAATGTTGACGCCCCAAAATCACCAATCGACGCTGGATTAGCACGAAACTTGACACACAAGACCGCCTTGGCACGAGAGACTTGTAGGAGAAGATGAGACTCGAATCAGGTTCCCGATTTGGGAGTTAGAGCCGGATTTCGGCCTAGGCAAACTAGTTTGTTAACAAACTTAGAATTTGAGGTGTTGATGCCCCAAAGTCACCAAATGGCATCGGATTAGCATGAAACTTGGCACACACGATCGCCTTGGTATGAGAAACTTGTAAGAAAAGATGGGACTCGAATCAGGTTCTCGATTTGGGAGTTAGAGTCGGATTTCAGTCTAGGTAAACTAGTTTCTTAACAAACATAGAATTTGAGGGGTTGACGCCCCAAAGTCACCAAATGGCGTCGGATTAGCACGAAACTTGGCACATACGACCACCTTGGTACGAGAGACCTGTGGGAGAAGACAAGACTCGAATCGGGTTCTCGGTTTGGGAGTTAGAGCCAGATTTCAGTCTAGACAAACTAGTTCCTTAAGAAACTTATAATTTGAGGTGTTGATGCCCCAAAGTCACTAAATGGCATCGGATTAGCACGAAACTGGGCACACACGACCGCCTAGGCACGAGAGACTTGTGGGACAAGATCAGACTCTAATCGGATTCCCGGTTTGGGAGTTAGAGTCAGATTTCGGTCTAGACAAACTAATTTTTCCTCGGTACTTAGAATTCGAGGTGTTGACGCCCCAAAGTCACTAATTTCTCCTGAAAATTTTTTAATTGGAAGATATAACAAGTGTATTCATAGGGTCAAATGTTTTTTATCCCAACAATGAACCGTAGTGGTTGGTGTACTATTTTATTTGTATGCTATCGCTTTTTGTGTGTGTATGTGTGTGTGTGTGAGAGAGAGAGAGAGAGTTGTCTTCAGTAATGTAATCCAATAGCAACCAATGTTATAATTGTGGATTGTTTACATAACCTCCATTCATCTATTTATTGTTTTTATTTAATTTGTCCTTTCAAGAAACATGAAATATCACAATGTTGGAAACCTAGCGGAATTTATAATCTATAGCTACATGCTTTTCTTTCTTCTAAGAACTTATTTGGCAGTACAAAGATAAAAAAAATGACCATACATTGTTTCTGGCATGGTGGATGCGGCTTTCCAATATTTTGTGATACCGATCCAAAAGAAAAAAAATCTTTAGTATTTTGTTTATTTTCTTTTTAATTATAGTTTAATTTGGAGTTTTATTAACATTTGGTTTCTTATTTTATTAGGGATTCCAATTTTCAAATATTATTAGGGTTTTACTTTCCGATTTTAATAGACTATAAAGAACTTTAAAAATGAAACAACCCTTTTTCTTAATAGGTTCAAACAAAGCAGAGGCATGTAAAGATCCAACTTTTAGTAAACCTTAGATTAACCTCATTTTAGTAAAAGATGGGAATGTGATCTCTTTCCATGCACTCTAATGCAACTTTTTTAACTCCATGAAAAAGGATAAACCTAAGGAAATAAATAGGGAGGAAATTTCTGGATCCCTAAATCTAGAGTATTAGAATTAGAATTAGAATAAGAATAGATTCAATAGAAATGTATCATGTTCAGAACATACATTTCAAAACATAAATTGCCTGGGTATTATTAACCTTTTATGATATATTTTTAAGTTTCAAAGCATACTGCAGGAAAAAAAAAACTAGATATGATGAGATAAACCATTGATATCTATCTAACAAACTACAAAAACTTCAAATCTGGCATAACGTTTGCATCTACATCTAGGCTCATCACAGGCATTTCTATCTTTCAGATAAGTCTAGATTCATAATAGACTAACTAATGTTAAGAAATAAAGTAAAACTTTTTCATTAAATGACCATAGACAGACCTAGATTGATCCTAAACTTATGTATCTCTCTCTTGAAACCCATATAGTGTTTTTTTAAAAATATTTTTTCAAAATTAATATATATATATATATATATATCATTTTCATAAGCCCAATTGACATATTCATAAGCCTGCATCAATAAGAACAAGTAATACTTTTTGTATTTTTATAAATAAAGAGATTTATATAAGTTAAAGAGAACCAAAGCAACAAGTAATACTTTCTAGTTTAATTTGAATAAACCAATTCATCAAAATAGTTATAGTTAGTGATCCAAAAGGCCATTAAAATTCATAATTCACCATAAAATTTATACCTGCGTGAAAAAAGAATACAACCAGAATTGATCCAAGAAAAAAAAGACTTACACAATCTTGATCCAACAATCTGAGCTGTCTATAGACCTAAAGCAGCTCAAAACTCCATTCACCACATCCTGATGTTGAAGAAAACAACAAAATTCAGTAAATTCAAAACATAAAAACCAAGAAATCCCTGATCTATAACTCACAACAATTTATTTAACAAATTATAAAGTTTGAGAATTAGATTCAACAGATCTAACCCTTACCTATGTTTTATTTTATTATTATTTTTGCATAGACCTTACCCAAATTTCGAATTATCTTCTTTTACGTTAACAGTAAAACTGGTACCCAAAAAAACCCACAAATTTGTTAACCCCAAAACCACTTTTCCACTACGAGTAAAATGATCTATCAAGAACATCAACAAACAAAGTGGTCAAGAAACCCTAAATTGGGACAAAGTTTTATTTTAAAAAAATTAAAAAAAATATTAAAAAAAAAACACAGAAACCCAATTCACATGAGCATTTATAAAAATTAAATCTGTGACAAAATTACTGGATTTTAACCCAAAAAAAAAATTACTAGAACCTTAAATCTGTGACAATTCACATTTAAAAAAAAAAAACAGAAACCTTAAATCTGTGACAAAATTACTGGATTTTAACAAAAATTAATCATGTAAATTAGGAATTTGGGAAGAGAAATTGAAGGGAAAAGTGCAATGTAAGTATAGAGTGTTTGGAACAATTTTTTCTTTCTTACCTTTAGTCTCGTGGAGAGGTGTCCTTTCAAGCTTCCAACTTGGGCATTTTATATCGAGATTCAAGTCAAGGGAGTTAAAAGTGGAATGAGATCTGGAGAACGAAACTCGCTGCTGCACGTCACTCCGGCGAGGGCCGTCGTTCACCCTCGCCACTCGTCGTTCAGAGTCGCTGCTTCTCGTCACTCTGGCAAAGGCCGTCGTTCACCCTCATTCACCCTCGTCAGTTCGGTGAAGGTCGTCATTCACCCTCCTTCACTCCGGCAATGCTGAATGTGCGAGTAGGGATTTTGAGGATTTTGGTTTGGTGATTTTAGGGATTTTGGTTTCAGATGGATTTTGATTTTGAGGATTTTAGGGATTTTGGGACACATGACCGCGAATGGGATAGAAATGAGCGGGACACCAAATATTTATTTTTTTGCGACGGCATATTTCAACCCTCACAAATGATACATATTAACCAATCAAAACGATGCCGTTTTACCCATATTTGTTTGCGATGGGCTTTTGCCGTCACAAATGGTCCACCATTTGCGACAGTAACTTCTTACCATCGCAAAATAATATTTTTTGCGATGGTATACTAGGCATTGCAAATGTTCCTACATTTTTCTTTTACAATCATTAGCGACGAAGGTCAGTACCGTCGCAAAAGGTCATTTTTTTCAACAACAGATACACGTCGTCGCAAAAGACTTTTTTTGGCGACGACAACTATACTGCGTCGCAAAAAACCATTTTTTGCGACGACAATTACCCCGTCGCAAAAACCTCCGTGTTATTTGCCCTCTTTTCTTGTAGTGAATCAATATACATTTAAATCAAGTTCTAGTTTTATCTTTCATTCATCTATCGTTAACAAAGCTAACGGAAATTGAAAGTGAAGTGATTAAAGTGAGATTTTAGTAGAAGTGTGAGGATTAAAGTGAAATTTTAATAAAAATGTAACAGCGCTAATGAGACAACAAAAATGCCACGTATGTTTGATTAACGGTAGATGAATAGAAGGGTAAAATTGCAGCTTAACTTAAAGTATAAATGATTGACTGTTATAATTGGAAGTGAAAAGATTAAAATGACATTTTAGTAAAAGTGAGTGTAATTTACCCTAAATAAAATTAAAACATATCTGCCACTATCTTGTGACTAAAATGATTTTCTATTCTCAAATCTTCTTAGGCCATGTTGGTTTGAACGGACTAACACTACAAAAAATTAAAGTTTTAAAGACCAAAATTTAAAAACAAAATTATTTTTTATGAACTAAATATTTTTGTTGTGAAAAGTATAGTTATTATATTTTTAGCAATGAAAATTAGATATTTGTGATGAATTATTATCCTTTTGAGAACAAATTTTTTGCCTAAAAAAATAAATTGTTTTGATACCAAATTATATATTTTGTCCCTAAAAGTGTATTTATTAGTGACATTTTCAAAAATTTGTCGCTAAAAACCTTATTTTTTAACTTTCGGGACAAGCTTTTAGCTACTATTCTCACAACGATAGAAATTGGTCTCTAAATGTCTTTTGCAACAAATTTTTTACTTTTAGAGACTGAAAAATTTAATCTCTAAAACTCTTATATGTTGTAGTGTAAATAAGGGGGGTTGTGACGTAACGAACTGATATTTTTAGGATATATACTCCCTATACTATTTGGCTAGATATGATGTGTATTTCATGTTTGTTTTCTCATCGTCTGGAAATAACTATTTTAGTGATTCTTATGTTTAGTTTGAAAATTATAAAGTATATTGTTTGAAAATCATGATGTATGTTGTTTAAATGACTATTGTTTGAAGTGTATTTTATTTTATTTAAAGTATGTGTTATTTTATTTTATTTTTATTTGAAATATATTTTATTTATTTTATAAAGACCACTTTTAATTTTACTTAAATAAAAAATTAGAAGTATATTTTCATTTATGATTTTGTTAATACAAAAAGAAAAAAAAGAGTAAGAGAAACCTTGATTAATTTACACTAGTTTAAAAATATTCAACATGTTTAAAAATATATTAGAAAATGAAAGAAATTAATTTTATATATACTTTAGGAATAATTTTTTCATTTAATTAGTTAATCCTGAGGGTGACTCAATCCGCTAATTTCTATGTCACACCCCTCCATGGGATTAAGTTATCCCACATTTGGAGATTATTAGTTGAACCCACTACAAAAAATTAAGATTTTGAGGACCAAAATTTAAGAACAAAATTATTTTTTAGGGACCAAATATTTTTGTTGCGAAAAATATCATAATTATATTTTTAGCAACGAAAATTAAGCATTAGTGATGAATTATTATCTATTTGGAACCAAATTTTTTGTCTCAAAAAATAAATCATTTTGAGACCAAATTATTTTATCTCTAAAAGTCTATTTATTAGTGACATTTTCAAAATTTTGTCGCTAAAAGTCTTATTTTTGACTTTTTGGAACAACCTTTTAGCAACTATCCTCACGATGATAGAAATTGGTCCCTAAATGTCTTTTGTACTCCCTCCGTCCCAAAATAATAGTCCCTTTTGGAGAATCCAACTTTTTTTGATAGTACAATTATTGTACTTTTAAAAAGTTGGTTTTCCAAAATTACCCTTTGATAGTACACTTTTTTGAGAATATCAATGTCATAATTGTACTTTTTATATTATTTATGAATTTAAAAGAAGGGCAAAATGGGAAATTTATATTATTTTTGTACTTAATTTTTGAAGAGGGACTAATATCTTGGGACAATAAAAAATGGAATAAGGGACTAATATTATGGGACGGAGGGAGTAACAAATTTGGTCTCTAAAGTTCTTATATGTTGTAGTGACTGGACTATTAGTCATTTGGCTTTCACTTTTCTGACTAAACATTAGACTATCCACTTTGTTAGACATGAAATTCAATCCCATGCTCTAATCCTACCAAACAAACACCTTATTTCTTTATATCAAAATACTTACAATTATTATAAGAAATTTTGAGATATGATAATCTTAAAATATAATCTAATACGTATATATATATTTTTTTTAGAATCTCAAGATTTTGTGCATGCAAGTATGTGACTTTGGTGTACTACATGTATGTATGTGTATATATATAGGAAGCAGATGTTGCAAAAGAACAGAAACCGCCACCAGTGGAGCCCGGAAGTGGACCTCATCATAACAAACCAGCTATTCTTAAGAAACCGGCTCCTCCTTCCACATTAGTTGTAACTTGTAAGTTAACACTCACTCTCTCTCTCTCTTTCTCTCTCTCTCTCTCTCTCTCTCTCTCATAGAATTATGTATGTGTTTTGTGTGTATACTAATCTTATAAAAACTGACAAATCTCACAAACGTTTCTTACTCACTGATATCACACTTAATGCATTACAAAAATTATTTATTACATCACATAACAATTAGTGACTGACTACAGTGTGAGGCCTCAAACATCAAAAGCATTATTGAATAATCTCACGCTAAGTCATCACAAATATGTTTATTAATTGTGCTATGTAATAAATGAAAGAGTAAATTATACTTAGGATCCTTGTATTTTTACCAAAATTTCACTTTTACCCTTTTACTTCGAATTATAACAATATCAATTTACATTTAAATCAAGTTCTAGTTTTATCTTTCCGTCCATCTATCGTTAACAAAGCTAACAGAAATTAAAAGTGAAGTGATTAAAGGGAGATTTTAGTAGAAGTGTGAGGATTAAAGTGAAATTTTAATAAAAAAGTAACAGTGCTAATGAGACAGCAAAAATGCCACGTATGTTTGATTAATGATAGATGAATAGAAGGGTAAAATTGTAACTTAACTTAAAATATAAATGATTGACTGTTATAATTGAAAGTAAAAAGACTAAAATGACATTTTAGTAAAAGTGAGTGTAATTTACTCTAAATAAAATTAAAACATATCTGCCACTATCTTGTGACTGAATAATTTTCTATTCTCAAATCTTCTTAGGCCATATTGGTTTGAACAGGCTAACAGTACAAAAAATTAAAATTTTAGAGATCAAAATTTAGGAACAAAATTAATTTTTAGAGACCAAATATTTTTGTTGCAAAAAGTATAGTTATAATATTTTTAGTTATTATATTTTTAGGAATGAGAATTAGATATTAGCGATGAATTATTATCCTTTTGAGACCAAATTTTTTGTCTCAAAAATTAAACTCTTTTAAGACCAAATTATTTTGTCCCTAAAAGTGTATTTATTAGTAACATTTTCAAAAATTTGTCGCTAAAAGCCTTATTTTTTTTTACTATTCGGGACAACCTTTTAGTGACTATCCTCACAACGATAGAAATTGGTCCCTAAATGTCTTTTGCAACAAAATTTTCACTTTTAGAGACTAAAAAATTTAATCTCTAAAACTCTTATATGTTGTAATATATCCACTTTGTTAGACATGAAGTTCAATCCCATGCTCTAATCCTACCAAACAAACATCTTATTTCTTTGTATCGACATACTTACAATTATTATTAGAAATTTTGAGATATGATAATCTTAAAATATAATCTAATATATAAATATATTTTTTAGAATCTCATGATTTTGTGCATGCAAGTATGTGACTTTGGTGTACTACATGTATGTATGTATATATATATATATATATATAGGAAAAAGATGTTGCAAAAGGACAGAAACCGCCACCAGTAGAGCCCGGAAGTGGACCTCATCATAACAAACCAGCTAATCTTGAGACACCATCATCATCATTTCATTGATAAGCACTGTGTATGTTTTGGTTGGTTGGTATGGTTGTATTATAATCAATCCATGATATGGTTTGGGTTTAATATGTATGTATTTTTTTTTTTTTTTTTTTATCAACAAAAGAAAACTATATTGATGAAGAAAGTATAATATACAAAACTTACATCAATAAAGAGAGAAGAGCAGATAGCACAAGACCCTAAATTGGTGAGAAACCAATAAAGGAAACAAAAGAGAAAAGAAAAAAACACAGAACAGAGTTACACTACTACAGCTTCTCACACCCGAATTAGCCTACAACCAGACCAACAACAGCATAGAAGCAACAAACAGCAGCAAACCAGCAGCAAACTTCCTAGATTCATACCTGGCTACACACAGCATAAGGCATACTTCCTTTGATCATACCTGATTCAAATAGATCTGCCAGCAACATACCCTGATTAAAGCAGGCTAGAGCAAAAGCATACACACCCCATCTGGCATGAAGCAGACTACACAGAGGGCAACATACCAAGCACACACACCCCAAAAGCACATACACCCAGCAGCAAAACCCTATAAACAACAAGTCACCTGATTCAGATTAGCCACTACATCATGCACTGAATAGTGAAACTTTGGCAGCCCAGACTTGGCCCACAACCCAACCCTAACTTTCACTATTTCACCAAGCTCATCCATATTAGACTGATTTCCTTTAAAAACACACTCATTTCTTAACCTCCATACTGACCATAACATTGCAATTGGAACAAGCCTCCAAATCCTCACAACTGACTTTTTAAATTTTGTTCCCAGCCACCATAATAGCACACCATCAACTGTAGCAGGAATGGACCAAGATACTCCCCACCATTGCAGCATAGATGACCAAACCTTCCAAATCTCCGAGCACTGCAATAGAATATGATCCACTGACTCTGTTTCTAGCTTGCAGAAAGGGCACAGGCACAGATTCTCCACATTACTACTTAAGGCCCTAAACCTCTGTAAAAGACTAATGGTTTTAACCCTGCCCCTCCATGCCAACCAGCTTAAAAATTGAGCTTTTGGAGGGGCCACACCTCTCCATAGCAGATTGGGAACCTGCAATTTTGGGCCTTGAATCACCTCATACCATTTCCTCATTGATGCCACAGTGAATTGACCGGAAGGAGATGCAGTTCACCTGACTGAGTCTGGCAGCTCCTCATCAATCCTGGGAGCATCTCCAATCAAGTCTTACAGCCTTTGAACCTCCTCTTCCTCCCAAGCAAGAAGTGATCTTGAAAACAAAAACCTCCAATTTCCTGAGATATTCCTCCTCTGCATGAAAGAGCTCAGATTCCCCTCTTTATCCACAGATAATCTAAACAACCTTGGGAACTCTACCTTCAATTGAACATTCAACAGCCACTTATCATGCCAAAAGTGAATCCTACACCCATTTCCTATCACAAGCTTGCAATTAGACGTAAAAAATTCAAAAAGCTCAGCATTAGCCCTTAACACACTCAGAATATCACTCCAAACAAAAGATTCTTTGCCAGTCCCTTCCATCACTGGTAACCATCTACCACCAACTCCCCCATACTTGTTCAAAATTACTTTCTTCCACAGAGATTCATCTTCCACCCCATATCTCCACCACCACTTAGTTAACAAGAAATCATTAAAGTCCCTCACCCTTCTAATGCCTAACCCTCCATGCTCTTTACTAAGAGTTACTAACTTCCAGTTTACCAAATGAATCTTCCTCCGGATTTCTGAACTACCCCATAAAAATGTTGCCCTCAACTTATCAATTTCCTTAGCTACCCTTTTAGGTAATTTGAAGAGAGAAAGGTAGTAACCAGGCAGACTATCAAGGACAGATTTGATCAGAGTTAGACGACCAGCAAATGAAAGCGTCCTTCTCTTCCATAAGGCTAATTTAGCTTTTACCTTCTCCACCACAGGTTGCCAAGTCTTCTTACTTCTTGGGTTAGCACCTAGAGGTAAGCCCAGGTACAAAAGAGGAAGCTTCTTACTTAGACAATAAAGTTTAGAGGCAAAAGCTTGATTAATTTCTCCACTAATCCCAACTCCGCACACCACACTTTTGTGAAAATTTATTTTAAGGCCTGACATAATCTCAAAGCATCTAAGAATCCTCTTAACATTTACTATCTCCTTTATGTATGTAGTTATTTGGTTGTTGTTGTACTATGTTTCCTTCCCTATTTTCGAGTTATATATCAGTGCATGAATGAATGTACAATAAATAAATTCATACAAGAATGTAATATAAGACATGATGTGCCATGCTGTAATTATCTAAGTTTTAAAGCCAGCCTTGTTTATTTACTCATCGATATTCTTACACTTATCGCAAGCTACTTTTTGTATGCCATGGCTTCTAAATCCACACTGGTAATACTAGACTAGAAGCAACCAAAAATAAATAAATAAATCGGACACTCAATCCACTTATGCCAAGAAAATAATTTTTGATCTTTTCATTTAGCCACACATAAAGGAAAAACACTTATGTAGCCTTCTACAATTGGTCTGGGCTCTGCATACATTTTTTTTTTTTTTTTTCATTTTATTGAAGCTTTTTTTTTTTTTTTTTATTAAAATTTCCAAAAGGTAGATCAGTGGAGAATTACACCGATCTACCTTGAAATTTAGGAAAAATACGGTAAGTCTCACAATTTTAATTATATTGGGTTCTCTTAAGGTTTTAATTCATCTAGCACTTGGCCCCCCTTTTTATAAAAAAATTATTGTCATTTCATTTACATTGAAATGTATTATAGACGTTTGGGCCTTTGTACCATTTGCATTAGTTTTGGTCTCTTTATTCTTACTAAAAGAGAGGTCAGTGTAATTATACCAAAACTGTGGGACTTGCAGTATTTTCTCCAAATCTCAAGGGAGGTCAGTGTAATTCACGCCATTCCCCCCCCCTAAAGCTCTCTCTCTCTCTCTTTTTTTTTTTTTTCTTTTTCTGCACAGTTGCAGGTATTAGTTGTGTTTGAGATGATGGATGTTAGTCAGCTGTGGCAGGGACTGAATTATGCATCATCAAATGGCAGTTTTTGCCAGGATGACTAAAAGACTCACAGAAACCCAAGGATCCAATCAACATCCTAGAAACTAAATCCCATACCCATATAGTCACATAATCATGTTATCACATAAGCATATAACACTACATCTAAGTCTCTATCAAGCGAGACGAACTCATTGTGGTACTAACCACTTCCCGCGTACCCAAAGTATTTGAACCCGGTACGCTCTAATACCAAGTTGTAACGCCCTAAAAAAAAAACCCATTATAGCATACATTCACGATAAATAAAAGAGTTTTTATATTATAATCACCAGAGTATTCTTACAAAAAGTATGATATGTTGACAATAAAAGTAAACGCCCTATAGACTTACAACTTTCCAAGTCCACACTTGGTTACAAAAAGAGAGTACTAACTCTACACAAATAAGCCCTTGGCTTGATATACATGTAATACAACAAAACAACAAAAATAGAGTCTACAGCCTCAAGCCTCCCAAGCTACGTCCTTGGAGGTGGCATAACACCTGTACTTGAAAATGATGTCCCATATAGGGTGAGTCAACGCCCAGTAGAGATATGTTAAACATAACATGAGCAATAACTAAAACATTAGCACTTGATAAATATTTAACTTAACAAAACTCGACTTACAAACATGACTCAGAACCTGGCCAAATAACTGAAGTGAGACTACATCCCATGCTAACAATACTACAAACTGTCATTTTACGAAAATTGCGTCCGCAGGATTCAGCACCCATGTATTTTCATTCTCTTATGGCCATTTTACGGACATTTCATCCGCGAGACTCGGCACCCATGTATGGATATATTCGGATTGCCATTTTACGAAAATTGCGTCCGCGAGATTCGGCCTCATGTATAATTATATTCAAATGGCCATTTTACAGAAATTTCATCCGCAGGATTCAGCACCCATGTATTCAAATACACAACTTGATTAGTTTCAATTCACCTAATCATCATGCAATGTCTATAACAATCAAGACTATCTTCCACCGATAGCCCAAAGCAGTTATTTCTAAACAGATAATAAATGTCTCAACAGATATATAATTGACATTTTCAAAAGTGAGCGATTTATAAATCCAACTCCACCATTCTATCTCGTAATGAGCAAATTTCATTATCCCCAACTCAATTTCATAACAAATGTCATTAATTACACCAATGACCCAAATATACCCAAATATGACAATTTTCCCTTTAAGCTCAATATTGACCAAAGGTCCAAATATTATTAACACCAATAATCTCACTTCTAGGCTCAAATACACATGTATAGGCTCAAAATACAAAACCCCTCTTTTATACATTTTGAAACCCTAACACCCAAAATCACCCAACTCAACATTACATCAAAAAGACCAATAGTTTATGTCAAAGACCATAGGAATGAGTAGTTATCCCTACCTCGAGATGAAGAGCTCAAACGGAGGAGATGACTGAAATCCAAAATGCTCCAAATCCAAGATTTTTCAGATTAAAAGGAAGCCCTCAACACCCTATATCTTTCTTACAAAGAGTCTAGGTTAGAAACTCACTAGAAGTAGATCAATCCCTAGAGAGTAGTTGTTTAGAGAGAGAGGGAGCTCAGATCTAGGGTTTTTGAAAAAGGAAGAGATGAAAAAGTGAAGTGTAATCCCGCTGTTGTCTACTGATATACGTATGACCCGCTCGAGCAGAGAATAGGACGCTCGAGCGTTAGACACAAAAACTGGACCCGCTCGAGCGTAAAGATTCCCGCTCAAGCGGCAAGACACAACTGCAAAACACACCCACTCCAGCGCAAAGGGAAAGCCGCTCGAGCGTAGATTCCCCCCTTCCAGAACTTTTACAGACAATGAACTACCCACTCGAGCGCCAAGACACCCGCTCGAGCGTAAGGAAAACCGCTCGAGCGTGAAAAACGCACCTACAGAAGTTTTGCAGAGGCACAAAATGCTGGAAGTGTATAAATTCCGCTCGAGCGCAAGAACACCCGCTCGAGCGAACAACCAAAAATCAAACTCTGCTCGAGCACAAAGGTACCCGCTCGAGCGTACCACCAAAAATCTGAGCAACAAGGAATGAGACTAAAGCTCAACCAACCTGTTCGAAACACGCCCAATACATCCTAAAACTCAAACACGCGGAATTAAAGGATAACAACAAGATATACAGCCACCAACTCCACAGAACCTAAGTCCGGAATGCAACAATCAAAGGAAGAGAAACCGGGATCGCTATAACCTCCCCCTCTTAAAGAATTTCGTCCCCGAAATTAAGTACAAGTTTTTCAAAAACATGTTTTCTCAATCACCAACATTATTACAATATAAAATTCAACAACTTGACCCATTACCGGTCATTCCATCTCTATTCAAGAGGCAAACTTCCAACATAATCTCCAACATGCATTATCAACATGCATCACAAAATAAATTCAATGCCAAAATTATATTTGCATTTCTAAAACAGAGTTAACATATGTAATGTTAAAATAAACTTCCATTACAAGGCAAGTTCCACAATATTCCCATAAACCAAAACATTCACAATGTTTTACAACTTAAGACATATTTAATGCTCTTAAAGTTCATTAATATTATAAAATCCCAATACATGGTTAAACATTTACAAACAAGTCCGGATATTTTTCACGGACATCCGCCTCACGTTCCCAAGTGGCTTCCTCCACTCCGTGATGTTTCCACAAAACTTTTACCAAGGGAATGGTCTTGCCTCGCAAGACTTGATCCCGCCTATCCAAGACCCGTATCGGTCTCTCTTCATACGAGGCATCCTCATCTACCTCTAAGTCGGTCCAATCCAACACATGCGATGGATCCGGCTCGTACTTCCGAAGCATACTAACATGAAATACGTTATGCACTCCGGACAACTGCGGCGGCAAAGCTAAATGGTAAGCAACCTCCCCAATCCTCTCAAGGATCTCAAAGGGACCGATAAATCGAGGGGACAACTTCCCACTCTTCCCAAACCTCATCAAATCCCGCCTAGGTGATATTTTCAAGAAAACATGATCACCCGTCTCAAATGCCAAAGGCCTCCTCCTATGGTCGGCA